TTTTTTTATATAAATTAATGTATAATTAATAATTAAAAAATAATAAATACATTATTGTCATGTATCTTAAAAACACATTATAGAAAAACCCTTTCTCTATTATTGTTAATTGCTTTCAATTGCATTTCCTTTTCTAGAGCGTGAGCTACCCTACCACCCTCTCGAAGGCCTACACCGCAATGCCATCGGCATTAAATTGGTGAAGCATCTAGCTTGGATTTTAGTAATTGAGCTGTGTGGTTACCTCCGGCACCTGTTCTGTGAAAGCTACTAAAATTTTATTTAAAGAATATTAATTTTATTTTTTTTAAAACAAATTCGTAAGGGTTTGAATTCGAACAGTTGTCATGAGAGTGAGATAATACATTTATATATGATTTGATGTCACTGGATTGAATGCTCAAGTGCATTAATTTTATCTAATTTAATCATTAAAAAAATAATTTATATAATAATTTATATTTATTATTTAATAAATTAAAGTTAATTTATAAATATTATAATCACTTGTTTTAAAAAAATACAAATATCAATTTTTTTTTGGTACATATACAAATATCAATTAAATTATAATGACTTTAGCAAAATAAATAATAACCATAATCACACCTTATTAATCGGCTAAGATGATGGTTTTTTTTTTTTTTTTGATAAAGTCCAATTAATTTTGAGTTTGGACTGCCTATTGAGTCGTTGACTTTTGATCCCATATCCATGGTGTTCCTGGTTTCGGTTTCTAAGCGGCATCCATTAATTAATTTGTGGATCGACAGTACTGCATCTACATACGGAGAAAAAATTTAAAACCAACAAGAATTTAATTAAATTAATATTTATTAATTTAAAATTTTTATTTAAAATGCATATTAGATATTTAAATATTTATGTTATTAAATATCTAACTCATGCACTTGGGTATTCGGATCCAGTGACGTCAGGTCACGTATAAGTGTATTTTCTTACCTCAGGGCAACGATTTGAATCCAACTTCTTACAAATTTGTTTTTAAAAAAATATCTAACTCATATATATTTATATAAAGAAAACTAGATATGTACAAGATAATGTATAGATAAAGATATAAATTTTTTATATTTTTAAATAGCATAGTTAAATTTTACTTTTTTAAGATAAATATACAAACTTTATATTTTTATTTAAAAATTTATTAAATGACAATAATAATATATAATAAATAACAAACTTAATCAAAATATGATAAAATTCATATTTGTAAATAAAAATGTTATATTTTTAAATAA